TGACTTCTGTCACCTGCTACAATGTATCATCTGTCTGCACATGTATAATGCCTTCTGTTACGGCAAAAGAGAAGTTTTGTTCTTTTACTTTCTAAACTCCATGGTTTCTATTTCTGTAAGAATGACTCGACAGTAAAATCATCCACATTCATTACATTTATAATCCCAGAAAAAAAGTGAAGTGACATACACAATAAGATTTAATTATTTAGCTCCCTAAGCTTCATATTATAAAACAAAGACTTAGAGCAAAACTCTTAGCACTTTTAGTCACAATGTCTCAAATCCCTCAGTTTCTGTATGGGTTGGTATAATAAAATCACCAAGGTTTGATCTTATTCACATGACTGCACGATCAGGCTCTGTCTAATCAGAACTGTCAGTTCTCTGAAACTTGATCACTCAGAAGTATAGACAAACCAAATAGATTTCAAAGTTGGACCTGGGGAAATAACTTGTCTTGCCAAACAAGCATAAGGACCTGAGTTGGGATCCCCAGTACTCAAGTCAGGGACGGAAGAAATGTAACTCTAACCCGAGAGTAGAGAGAGAGATAGAGAGTGTAGCCAGTTGGTGAACACCAGGTTCAGTGATGTATTTTGTCTCATTCATTATACATGGTGGAGAGAAATCAAAGAAGGCATTTAATATTGATCTCTATTTCTCTCATCATCCATAGGCATATTTCCTCCCATACAGCTGTACCTGAACTTACATAGGCTCATGCATATAACAGCACACACAAATATGCACACAGAAATATGTACAAGCACAAATATATGAATAAATTTGTAAATTAATATTATTATGTTATACACAACAAATTTAACTTTCAACAAAGTTATTTCTTTAAAGTAATTCAGTTTGACTGGAAGGTGACAGATCTGGGACTAAAAACAGACATACAAATTTTTATTTTCAACACAGGAACTACTTTCATTGTTTACTTCTGTGAATAGTTGGAGTGATCTCATAATGGTTTAAATGATCCAGTCTTGATCTTGGTTCTTCAGTTTTTCATCTGTGGTGACTTTTGATCCTGACACTTTCACTATGCCCTCCTATGAATCATGTCATCACGTGCCACCCATACTTCTGAACTCAGTCTTTAATTGTGAGACTCCACCTTTTGCTACTTGTCTTTGGGCCATTTTTCTATTCCTTAAACACAATGGAATTGTTCTTTCCCCCTTGAAAGGTTCTGAAAGTTGCTTTTCTGTAAAAGCTATAACATTTCATTTTGCTCTATGGTATTTAAAACAGAATGGAGGCCTTTCATCTCTGCCTTCATTTTGTATCTATTTCCTTTAAGTGGGAGTCACAGTTCTGCTCAATTCTGCATATTGGTATGTTCAAAGTTTCAAGAGGATCTGTCTCAAAACTGGTGATACCTAATGTATCTCTTTTCTTTTGTGGATTAAACTAAAATATCAAGAGTTAAAAGGCATACTGTCACTTCTACAATGTATTTCTAGAATTCCCCAGAAAAAGTAAACTAAAAGTCTATAGTCCTTGCTAAAAGCCTAAAGCCCCTTGGTTTCTAGGAAATGAAAAGCCCCATAGGCAGATGTCCTTGTGAACTAGAGCTCTCTCTTACATAAGAGCAAATACTTCAGAAGAACTAGCCTGTGTCTTCATGTGACAAGGGTGTTTCTAGAGCTAGTTTGTGGGACTAGAACAGAAGAAGCAATAATCAACAGCACACAGACTGGTAAGGGTTCCTAAATCACATAATCCTCTCTCCCACAGTTCTCCATCAATGCAAGCCAAAAGTTCCTGATGTTTCCAGGATGGGTTGAGTACTTATAGCTTCTGTCTTTCTTACATGGATATTTTGGTAGTAATACTTTCACATCTTTTCATTTATTTGCTTCATCTGTGGATAGTGTCCAGTCCTGACATGTGGATAGTAGCCAATCTTGAGTTTGGTAAGAATCAGACTAGTTTCACAGTTTTACCACTTCAGCCCCTTCCTATATTTCTTTCCTTCTTCATCAAGTTCAAATGCACAGTCCTTCTAGTCAGTAACTCTTTTAACAGTTGTTCTCATTTCCCCTTATTTGTCAGTTATTGGACTCTCTGTAGCCTATGTAACCAGAAACTTTCTGAATGGGACATGGAAGTTTGCTTTAGCAAGTTCTCCAATATATTTACAAAGTACTACTCTATTATTGGTTGATCTCTGACATCAACTCATTCTAAATACTGTAAGTCTTTAAATGCATTTTGCAAATTAAGGGTCTTACATGCTTTTCCCTTTCTGTTAGCTTTTTCAAAACCTTCTGGCTCTGCAAATCTGTGACATAATTTATACGTTTTACGTGCCTAAGTTCTGTGCCCTCTGACACTGACACCAGATTCTCAGATACCCTATAGTGGAAGAATATTACTTGAGGCAAGTGCTGATGACTAGGATGGTACCTTGCTTTCTGTTTCAATACTTTTTCACTTTTTTTGAATTTCCCTTTCCTTATATCTTTCCTACCACAGTCTTATACATATCATTACCTGATTTAAGTATTTGGGTTCTAAATGTAATGAAAACATTATAAAGTTTTAAATGAGGACATGATGTTATCTGAAAAGTAGTAAATGAATATATTTTTTCTCTGTATAGACTGATTTAACAGAGAAGGAGACAGATCCATTATATGAGAAAAGAAAACCAGTTGATAAAAAAATAAAGAGAAAAGTGGATTGGGTCAAACATATTTGTAGTGGATGTAGAACTCAGTTTGGGATGCAATTTGGTGGCAAAATTAATAAGTAATGAAAGAGGAGAAAATGAGCTCATCCCTGTCACTGTCACAACTGTGAATATAGGTGAAAGTGTTTACAGAATGAAGAAGCATCAGAAGAGAGAGGGAAAACAATCAAGAGTACTCTGACTATGCTGCTTCAGATTTTTAGTGGCTAACAGTGTGCTGTCAGTCAGGTGAAGCATTTACAAATACAGATGGGGATTTAGAGATCCTTAGTCTGCAGAAAATGCTTAAAGCTCTGATACTCTGTGAGTTCAATTTTGAAAAGTGATAGCAACAGTTATGGCCTACTTGGATACTTAAAGTAGGTGGTATATCTAATAAAAGAAATTGAAAATGAAGACTTAGTAAATAAAGGGAATCTCAGAGAAAAGGAAGTAGTTAGTTATACATAATCCTGCTGAGAAACAAATGAAGAGAGGCAACCATTAGGGATGGTAACTTCAAATCTCCCTGGCAGACTCTTCAAAAGGATATTAAAAGAGATGTCAGAAGAGAGCAAGTCAGGGAAAGTGTGCTATTGAGTTAGGTTTCACTGAGAAACCTTTGTCCTTCCTTCTCGTCTTTGATCAATACCATCCATTGTAATTCAAAAGCAGTGGACAGACCTTACATTTTGAGAACTTCAATCTGAAGTGAAATTTGAAAAACACATGGTGATTGTTGAAAGCTTATAAAAAAGTTTAATGAATGTGCCAAGGCATTTAAATGAAGTGGGGTCTTAAAATAAACATTGAATTCTCATATACTAAAATCTCATTAAATTGGTTGATGGTTTTACTATCATATCAAACAAAAAGGATAATAACCAAAACAATATTACTTAAGGAACAGTAGGTTTTAAAATAAAATGGAATACAATATATCCTGGAAGAACCTATTATTTCTGTTTAGTAAATATATGTATACATAATATCATTTATAGATACAATTGAAAGTTAATCATGTATAAAAAACACTATAACACACATATACACACTTTTTCTACTTTTACTAATCAAGTTCTTTGAGATATACTATTTAATCTCATGGTTAATGAGATAGCAATATCTTTTTACTAAGCGTCTATCTGATGTAGTTGTCAAGGAAAATGTACCTGGAAGTAAACAGTATACTAATTTCAGCATTGCACAAAGGAAACATTTAAGAATCAAGTCTGACCTACGTTCCTAAACAACAGCGATCGGTTAACAAGAGGCACTGATGTTTGAAATGATGAGGAGACAACATACTAATGGGTTCCTATGGCATGCCATTTGTGGAGAGGATGACTGGCTACAAAGCCAGCGTGCATGATTATTGCCAGTGAGTAAAACTATTGAACTAAGGGGAACTGGGCCAATGAGATGTCTCAGTAGGTAAGTGTGCTTTCTTTAAAGACTGACACGCTGAGTCTTTCCTAGAGTTCACACGGTAGAAAGAAAGAACTGACTACAGCAAGATTGTTTTGTGATCTGGACTCATGGGTTGAAGCACGTGTACACATGCATAGACATAGTAAATAGCTAAATAAAAAATAACTAAAAAAAAGTTTTTTAAAAAGGTTCCACTTGTCTTGCAATAGATGGCTTTTGTAACAAGCATATTATGTCCACTTACTTAACTGAACAAATGCATATTTTCTTTCATGATAAAGAATGTGGGGAAGAAAATCTTTCATTTGGGACCTTATGTATATCTAGTATTTTTTTTTAATTTATTTATTTATTAAGGATTTCTGCCTCGTCCCCACAACCGCTTCCCATTTCCCTCCCCCTCCCCCGATCAAGTCCCCCCCCCCTCATCTGCTCGAAGAGCAATCAGGGTTCCCTGACCTGTGGGAAGCCCAAGGACTGCCCACCTCTATCCAGGTCTCCTAAGGTGAGCATTCAAACTGCCTAGGCTCCCACAAAACCAGTACGTGCAGTAGGATCAAAAACCCACTGCAATTGTTCGTGAATTCTCAGTATTCCTCATTGTCCGCTATGTTCAGCTAGTCCGGATTTATATATATATATCTAGTATTATATATATAGCACTTATATTTTACATTCATTTTCACTCTCATAATTTAAATTAGTAAAAAAAAATATATTGAGCACTTGCTATGTGCAAAGCACCATGCTGAGGTTCTTTTGAATATATTCATAAGAGATAAAGTAGCCCCAAATGATTTACTCCTTGTTTTAGAATGGATTCTCTGGTCCAATTCTATTGCTGTCACCCAACAGATGTGGACACCAAACATGGCATTCCTACCAGCTCGTGACCCCCATCTTCATCGAAGTCCTCCTCTACCCCATCAGTCATTTCTCCTCCATCCGCTTCTTGCCCTCCTTCAGCAGGCTCCTCTGTGGAGTGGTCTGCATTCTCTGACACACACTCGTCTTGGATCAGCTCTATACTCTCTTCCAATTGCTTCTTCTGAGCTTCTAGAGGGAGAAAGCAGATGACTACTACCTTGGGTTGCTAATGAGTCATTTGGAAAAACGATGAAAGGACAGGGAACTCTTAAAAAGAATAAGCTGTTAAAAGCATGTACAAGATGGGGGATATTTTCAGTGAATTTAGTCAATACTTGAATTCAGTGCTTACATTTGTATATGTTTACAAGTAAGCAATTTATTTAAAAATTAAATTGGCAAAAATTAGGGTCTTAAGATGGTGAGAATATATAAATGAATATTTACATTAGTATACTGACCTTCCTAAATATTTCATTTTTTATAAGACTCTAAGAAGGATAGTCTCTCTGGGTGAAAAATAGTGATGACAAACTGCCTAGAACCACAGTCAGGATTCATTATTTAATGGGAGTATGGTGCTTTGCAAGGAAGACATGATTAACCTGTCATGTGCCTATTTTCTCTTCTTTCCACATGATAAGTGTTTCCTAAACTTTTAAGAACTTTTGCAGGAAATAAAAGTGCTATCACAGTAGTTTGCAAATAATAAGTGCTCAACAAGAAAGGCTACACTCCATACTAACAGAATTCCTTCTGTTTGCAGAAGCTCATACATGGAAGTAATTATTTCTCTCCTGGTTGTTTTTTTCTCCTATGAACATGTCAAGCAGCACTGGACAAATACGAAAACATCCTGTTTTTCTCTCTGCAGCATTCCCGTGTGTTCACAACTCTCTTAAAAGCTATGTTGTTTTTATTAATTGTGCTTACTGTTATTTTTAATAAATTAGTATTGCATTGTTTGATTAAAGCTTTAAATAGGCTTTATTTGATTTTACTCATTTTTCATGACAAAAAAACTTAGTAAAATTCTGGGACATTCATTTCATATTAGTTTTTCATAATGTGAGTAAAGAGGAAACTAGCCATTGATCTTTAGATTTTGACTCAACACAATAATCTTTTAAAAATGTGTTACATAATTATTAGAGGTAACTATTCTACACATTGTTGAATATCATCACAGCAATGATTTCTATAAATAATATGTGTCTATGCATTCTTCCTTTTCAGTCATCCAAATAATAGATGTGGTTAAAAAAAAGACAAAAAAAAAAAAAACAGATGAGAGGGCTCTGATTCTACTCAAGTTTCTTAGAAGTGACACTGTAGTAATCAGGGGTCATCCTAAGTTTTCCCACATGCTTACATCATAAAAATCCATGAACTTTGCTCTGAAGATTAACAATATGTTAACAATATTAACAATAGGTATGTTGAAAATGTTTTATAAACTGACAAAGATGGCATACATGTATACAATTAAAGGGGACAATGCATTCACACATACACACACACACACACACACACACACACATATATATATATGCATGCCTTAATACTAATAAAAGTATCAGTTTGTATCAAAGAATGGTGACTAAAAATCTTGTGCACATCAGACCTTGCTTCATAATAATTATAATTAGAGTAAATGATTAAAGCAGGAATATTAAAAATGACCTCTTTTTTTTCTTGGTATATTCACAGAACCTATTTCTGTCAATTAATTAGCCTCAAAGACTATGTAACCAAAGACCATGTCAAGATGAGCTTCATGTCCGTGTGCACATAGGATGTACTGGTAAAAGCTGCAGCACTGTGGATTTTCCTTCTCTCCTACGGCCATGTGATTTTTACCCGGGAAAGTACTCTGAGGATCATAAAGTAGTTCTTATATATCTAGCCAAAAGACTTTGATTTGCTTTTTCTAAATTTAAGTAACTGCTATCAAAATTATATTAGAACTGTTGTTCAGTTGTTTAACCGGTGACTCCTTAGTGTTTGAACTCCAAGGGAAATATGACATCTATCCTCTCAAGGTCATTGCCAGGCTCATAGAGCAATACAGATGTTCACTGCAAACTAAGGTTTATTTACAGGCAATCTCTTTTATGCTCTATTATTTTATATGCATGATAAGTAGTAGTGATGCTGTAAGTTATTAGAATTTAAGACATAGGGTTCATACTACTGCTAGTTACTATTCCTATGAACTTTAGTTTTCTTCTCCAAAAGGTAAATGAAAATATAACAGTGCATTCCCAAAGTCATTGTTTTCTTGAATGAGGAAAAGGTGTGAATATGTCTTGTAATTGCAGAGACTACACAAATACATCAGCATAAAAGCTCAAAACAGTTTACAGTGAACCATTTATTATTTGATTAGTTTACAGAAATCTTTCTCATCAAAAACCTCTACTTCTGATTTTTTAAGAATCTATTGAAGACATTTCACATTGACTTTTACATGGTCTTCTTACTTTTGTCTAAATAAACAAAATCTTAAGTTACACTCTGGCGTTTGTACACACAATATGCCTGTAATTCCTCTGAGAGTTTATTTCAAAGCTAACAGGATATTACTATGGTTCAAAGCTAGAAAGAAAAACCTGTAAGCTATCCTCATCCATTCATTCATTAACCTGAAACCTTAAATGTTCAGGAGAAAGTATCTGGGTTGAAAATATAAGCCCCTTAAATATAATGGTAATTGATTCATGGGATTTAACAGTTTAATAGAAATTAGGCAAGCCTGGATTTTTGTAAGGTGTAGTCAGCAGAGACCTTTGTAATTGGCTCAGTAGAAATTATCACATACCAAAAATACCACATGCCAAGAATAGAATCCATGAATAAATCAGACATTAAAGCATAGTTGTTCACTAAGCTGCAGCGACGTGGTTTAATAGCATCAATTTTCATGTAAAAAATCTTGCTGAAATGATTTTCTATGAATAATTATCCAATTTATTTCTTTTAGAAATGAATAATAGTGTTTGGTTTAATGTAAATTTTGTAGCATTTATTTTATCTGCATAATTCTTTTTGTGAACATGTGAAAAATTACATTTGTTTGTGTTTGCACATGTGAGCATTTTTAAATATTAGGAAATTCTTCTTGCAGAAATACCTGCATCCATCTTTTCTTTTTTCTTTTTTTGGGGAGGGGTGCTATTGTCTAGGTCACAGCTTTACATGAAAACATTTTTTGAATGCATTCATGAGTTGTGGGGAATAGAGTAATAAAATCTTCTTTCTACATTTTAAATCCTTTCTATATGAACAAAATGGCAGTTGAATTTGGTACTATGATAGCAAAATGACAGTTCTGAGGATTCAAAATAAACATTTTTGCCACATTCTGTACCAATACTGGCCCTGAGATATTCTTAGAGGAGAATTGTTCATACGTTTATTATCAATTCTTCAAAAGAAAAATAAATGTATAGCATTCATGGAAAAGTGCTACTTTTACGTTTTGGCATGTCTTGGAGCCTTTCTGTTGGTTATTTATGTTAAAGTGATGAATTCTTTTCTGAGCAGAGAAATGAGTTAATCTTAAAATGTTTTTTAAGAAGTGTGGATCAGGGCTAAAAAAAAGCTAGCAATTAATGCCAAATATAAAATCTGGGAATTTTCTAAAGTATAAAATTAATGCAGAATGAAAATATTTATAATGACAACATGTTTGTGAGGTCGTGAGCTCTTCTGGAGTGCTGGGCTTAGAGTAGCCCTGAGCACTAGCCTTGGGACACAGTATTATTGTTTACTGTATACATTTTGAAACTGTTGCATAAATAAAGCAAGTGAGAGTGGGAATCCACAGGAAGACTTCAGAGTTGACAGGCTCAGCAGTCTCCTAATGCATCCAGGATACAGAGGCGCTTATTTGGCATTCAGGCAAAGAGTACTTTGCATTTCTTCAAAGAGGAGATAATCTCCAATTTCAAGAACTAAAAAATCCATTCAGTTATGGAACATACTTTAGCTAAACAATGACTATCAAAGGAAAAGAAATGCAAATGTTTGGTATTTCTGATTAAGGGGAAATATTTATGGCTCCAAATGAGATAAAAAGAAGTCATTTGATATTAAATTTCTGTTCTGATATGAAAAGTTGTTTCATTTTGCTTTTTCCCCCAGCATAAATTGCTTCACTTTGAAAGCAGCATGTGTTTCAGGAAACGAGTTACAGTTGGGATTTCTCATCAAAGCCTCTTTACTAAACTGTGTTTTCTTCACAGTTATTACTAATATGACTGAAAATTGGATGAGGTGGCAATCATGCTTTTTGACATGCTGGTTTAATTACCAGCTAAACTGTACTTAGCATAGGGCAGAAAGGATTAATGATACAAAACCACTTCGCTTATTTATTATAGCCAAGTAAGTAAGTTTTTCAATCAATATTTTCCAAAGTATTATTAAACTTATTTTTAAAAGATTCTACTTTAAATACTTTTATGAATTTTGATTCAATTATTAAAAATGCTGCTGCTAAATATCCAATTAATTATAGATGTTATTGCTAGTAACCACAGAAATATTACATATGAGAAATGCATTTTGATTAAAATATTAGTTTTTAGAGAGAATTAACAGAGTTGTTCATGTGAAATGCAAAATAATTTACTGTAATCATCAAAAAATAATACGCTTAATTAAATATTGGAATTGGAAAGATACTGTTTCTCTCATTTTGTAAATTTTTGTATTGATTTTTATTGAGCGCTACATTTTTCTCTTTCCCCTCCCTGCCTCTCACCTCCCCTTCAACCCTCCCCCAAGTTTTTGTAAATTTTATGAGGACTTTTCCAAATGTCTCAGAACTAGGTAGTTAGATTCAATCTCTGAGTGGTGTGCTTGCAATTTTTTCTCCCTTCTGTCTGGAGCCTTCTGTTTCAATAATGTAAATCCACCTCCCATATGAAAAATGAGCCTGGGAGAAAACAAACAAGAAGTGGTGTTTCTTAGGGAGTGAAAATGTCTTAAGTGAACTGTGGTGGTGGCTGCATCATTCAGTAAAATTATCAAATCATTAGAATATAACCTTGAAGTGAAGTATATGTGAAGTATATCAACATGTGTATTAAAAAACTATGAGCATGGCAAAGCAATCAACACTGGGTATGGGCAGTGATCTGATGGAAAGAGGAGTTACGGGGTTGAGTATAACTAGCAAAAAA